CAAGCACCCACAAAACTTATCCGAGTTTTGTGTCATTTATCAATCGGGCAACAGACAGGCATTGGTGGAGTTTCCATGCTTGGAGTTGTTCAACGTGAGGAGGTGGCACTTGGGGACGTTGGTCAGTGCTGAGGAAATGATTTTAGAGAGATTTTCCAACCTCATTTTAGTCAGAAAGATCAATTTGCTGGTCATTTTCTTAAATTTTCAGTTTCTCGTCTGTTTTTTCAGCGTCACCAGCACGTTCACCTTTGTGTTGGGTTGGAAATGGAGCCGCTGTTTTCTGTGCTTTATTTTCAAGGCGAAAAAAACTGAGCTTCAAATTTCACAAACAGTTTCAAGGAAAAACCCCTGTGTTTTCTGTGCTTTATTTTCAAGGAGAAAAAGCTCAGCTTCAAATTGGACAAACGCTAATTTTCAAGAAAACATCAGGTTTTTTTCTGCTTTATTTTCAAGGAGAAAAAACTCAGCTCCAACTTCCACAAACACTCAATTTCAAATAATAAAAACACTGTTTTGTCTGCTTTATTTTCAAGGTGAAAAACTCCTCTTCCAACTTCAACAGATGACCAGTTTCAAGAAAAAAAAGTGTTTTCTCTGCTTTATTTTCAAGAGACAAAACTGAGCTCCAATTTAACAAACACTCAATTTCAATAGTAAAAAACCTGTTTTCTCTGCTTTATTTTCAAGGAGAAAAAACCCAACTCCAAATTTCAAAAACACTCAGTTTCAAGAAAAAAAACCACAGGTTTTTTTCTGCTTTATTTTCAAGAGAAAAACTCACTTCCAACTTCATCAAATGCTCAGTTTCAAGAAAAAAAATGTGTTTTCTCTGCTTTATTTTCAAGGAGAAAAAAACTGAGCTCCAAATTCAACAAACACTCAATTTCAAGGAAAAAACCACTGGTTTTTTCTGCTCTACTTTCAAGGTGAAAAACCTCAGTTCCAACTTCAACAAATGCTCAGTTTCAAGAAAAAAAATGTGTTTTCTCTGCTTTATTTTCAAGGAGACAAAACTCAGCACCAAATTCCACAAACAGTTTCCAAGAATAAACCCACATTTTTTTCTCTGCTTTATTTTCAAGAAGAAAAAACCAACTCCGAATTTCACAAACACTCGGTTTCAAGAAAAAAAAAAACCACTGTGTTCTCTGCTTTATTTTCAAGGAGAAAAAATTCATCTAAAACTTCAACAAACACTCAATTTCAAGAATAAACCCCACTGTTTTCTGTGCTTTCGTTTCAAGCAGAACAAAACCTGAGCTCCTTGTTTAGCAAACACTCAATTTCAAGAAAAAAAAGTGGTTTTTTCTGCTTTATTTTCAAGAGAAAAACCTGAGCTCCAAATTTAACAAACACTCAGTTTCAACAATAAAAACACTGTTTTCTCTGCTTTATTTTCAAGGAGAAAAAAAAACTGAGCTTCACATTCTACAAACATTAATTCTCAAGGAAAAAAACACAGGTTTTTTCTGCTTTACTTTCAAGGTGAAAAACTCCACTTCCAACTTCAACAAATGCTCGGTTTCAAGAAAAAAATGTGTTTTCTCTGCTTTATTTTCAAGGAGAAAAAACCCAACTCCAAATTTAAAAAACAATCAGTTTCAAGAAAAAAAAACATAGGTTTTTTTCTGCTTTATTTTCAAGAGAAAAACTCACTTCCAACTTCAACTAATGCTCAGTTTCAAGGAAAAAAAATGCGTTTTCTCTGCTTTATTTTCAAGGAGAAAAAAAGCTGAGCTTCAAATTCCACAAACACTCATTTTCAAGAATAAACCACTTTTCTCTGCTTTATTTGCAAGGAGAAAAAAAAAAAATCAGCTCCAAATTTCAAAACAAGTAAGTTTCAAGAAAAAAAAACCCACGTTTTCTGTGCTTTATTTTTAAGGAGAAAAATACTCGGCTCCAAATTTAACAAACACTCAATTTCAATAATAAAAATGTTGTTTTCTCTGCTTGTTTTTCAAGGAGGAAAAATTGAACTCCAAATTAAAAAAGAAACCACTCAGTTTCAAGAAAAAAAAAAAAAACACTGTTTCCTCTATTCTATTTTCAAGGAAAAAAACCTGAGCTCCTTGTTCAACAAACACTCAATTTCAGGAAGAAACAAACAGTGTTTTTCTCTGCTTTAATTTCAAGGAGAAAAAACTCAGCTCCCACTTCACAAACAGTTTCAATAATAAAAACACGCTTTTCTCGCTTTATTTTCAAGGAGAAAAAACTGAGCTCCTTCTTCAACAAATACTCAATTTCAATCAAAAAACCACTTTTTTCTTCTGCTTTACTTTCAAGGTGAAAAACCTCAGTTCCAACTTCAACAAATGCTCAGTTTCAAGAAAAAAAAAAAAAGTGTTTTCTCTGCTTTATTTTCAAGGAGAAAAAACTGAGCTCCAAATTTTACAAACACTCAGTTTCAAGAATCAACCTCTGTGTTTCTCTGCTGTATTTTCAAGGAGAAAAAACTCAACTCCAAATTTCAAAAACACTCAATTTCAAGGAAAAACCACAGTTTTTTTCTGCTTTATTTTCAAGGTGAAAAACCTCAGTTCCAACTTCAACAAATGCTCAGTTTCAAGAAAAAAAATGTGTTTTCTCTGCTTTATTTTCAAGAGACAAAACTCAGCACCAAATTCCACAAACAGTTTCAAGAATAAACTCACATTTTTTCTCTGCTTTATTTTCAAGAAGAAAAAAACAACTCCAAATTTCAAAAACACTCGGTTTCAAGGGAAAAAAAAACTCTGTTTTTTGCTGCTTTGTTTTCAAGAGAAAAAACTCAGCTCCAAATTGCACAAACACTCAAATTCAAGGAAAAAACCACTGGTTTTTTCTGCCTTTACTTTCAAGGTGAAAAATCTCAGTTCCGACTTCAACAAATGCTCAGTTTCAAGAAAAAAAATGTGTTTTCTCTGCTTTATTTTCAAGGAGAAAAAAACTGAGCTCCAAATTCAACAAACTAACGCTCCATTTCAATAATAACAACACTGTTTTTCTCTGCTTTATTTTCAAGGAGAAAAAACCCAACTCCAAATTTCACAAACACTCGGTTTCAAGGAAAAAAAAAAAAAAAAAAAAAAACCCCACCGTTTTTTTCTGCTGTGCTTTCAAGAGAAAAAAACTGAGCTCCAAATTCAACAGTTTCAAGTAAAACCCCAATTTTTTCCCACTGCTGTATTTGCAGGGCGTCCGCAGCTTGAAGCGCACGCACTTCAGGCCCCGGTGCATCCTGGTGGTGCCCAAGGACAGGGAGAAGTACGGGGAGCACCTGAGGAGGACGGGGCTGTTCACCAGGCCCGAGATGGACGAGGCCGTGGCCAGGGTGGACATGTACCTGCAGGAGTGCCAGGACTGCCCCGGGTTCTACGATGCCATCATCAACACGGGTCAGTTCATGCTGATTGCCTCTGGGGTAATTGGGAATCATCATATCATATCATATCATATCATATCTATTTTTATATCAAATATTTTAATACAACATTAAATTTTAATTTTGTTTTAGTTTTTAGTTTTATGTTTAATTTTGTGATTTTCGGCTCTCATTGCCCTCATTAATGCTGATTTTGGGCTCTCTCATTAACCTCTCATTGTCATCATTAACTCCGATTTTGGGCTCTCAGTGCCTTCATTAACGCCGATTTTGGGCTCTCTCATTAATGCTAATTTTTGGCTCTCATTGCCCTCATTAATGCTGATTTTGGGCTCTCAGTGCCCTCATTAACGCTGATTTTGGGCTCTCATTAACGCTGATTTTGGGCTCTCATTTCAGTCTCACAAACCCTGAGTTCTGCAGCACTTCAATAACAAACTCAAAATGGAGCCCCAGCTCTCTCTCTACAAGGCCTTTTAAACTGCCCCATTAAGAAATGACACCTACATTATTTTCACCCAATTATTATAAATTATTATAATAATTATTATGAATTATTAGAAATATTTATAATAATTATTATAAATTATCTTTTAACCCAATGACCAACCACCCATGGCCAGGCAGTGAGCAGGGTGGACATGTACCTGCAGGAGTGCCAGGACTGCCCCGGGTTCTTCGATGCCATCATCAACACGGGTCAGTTCATGCTGATTGCCTCTGGGGTAATTGGGAATCATCATATCATATCATATCATATCATATCATATCAATTTTTATAGCAAATATTTTAATACAACATTAAATTTTAATTTTGTTTTAGTTTTTAGTTTTATGTTTAATTTGTGATTTTCGGCTCTCATTGCCCTCATTAATGCTGATTTTGGGCTCTCTCATTAACCTCTCATTGTCATCATTAACTCCGATTTTGGGCTCTCAGTGCCTTCATTAACGCCGATTTTGGGCTCTCTCATTAATGCTAATTTTTGGCTCTCATTGCCCTCATTAATGCTGATTTTGGGCTCTCACTGCCCTCATTAACGCTGATTTTGGGCTCTCATTAACGCTGATTTTGGGCTCTCATTTCAGTCTCACAAACCCTGAGTTCTGCAGCACTTCAATAACAAACTCAAAATGGAGCCCCAGCTCTCTCTCTACAAGGCCTTTTAAACTGCCCCATTAAGAAATGACACCTACATTATTTTCACCCAATTATTATAAATTATTATAATAATTATTATGAATTATTAGAAATATTTATAATAATTATTATAAATTATCTTTTAACCCAATGACCAACCACCCATGGCCAGGCAGTGAGCAGGGTGGACATGTACCTGCAGGAGTGCCAGGACTGTCCCGGGTTCTTCAATGCCATCATCAACACGGGTCAGTTCATGCTGATTGCCTCTGGGGTAATTAGGAATCATAACATAACATACCATAACATATAACATAACATAACATAACATATAACATGACAAATGACATGACATATATTTTTATATCAAATATTTTTATACAATATAGAATTTTAATTTTGTTTTAATTTTTAGTTTTATGTTTAAGCTTGTGATTTTGGGCTCTTTCATTAACCTCTCAATGCCCTCATTAACGCTTATTTTGGGCTCTCATTAACACTGATGTTGGGCTCTCATTAATGCTGATTTTGGGCTCTTCCAATAACCTCCCAGTGCCCTCATTAACGCTGATTTTGGGCTCTCTCATTAACCTCTCAATGCCCTCTTTAACGCTGATTTTGGGCTCTCAGTGCTCTCATTAATGCTGATTTTGGGCTCTCATTAACTCTGATTTTGTCCCCTAATTAATGCTAATTTTGGGCTCATTAGCACTGATTTTTGGCTCTCATTAATGCTGATTTTGGGCTCTCATTGCCCTCATTAACGCTGATTTTGGGCTCTCACTGCCCTCATTAATGCTGATTTTGGGATCTCATTAACGCCGATTTTGGGCTCTCACTGCCCTCATTAATGCTGATTTTGGGATCTCATTAACGCTGATTTTGGGCTCTCATTACCCTCATTAACGCCGATTTTGGGCTCTCACTGCCCTCATTAACGCTGATTTTGGGCTCTCATTAACCGCTGATTTTGGGCTCTCATTTCAGTCTCACAAACCCTGAGTTCTGCAGCACTTCAATAACAAACTCAAAATGGAGCCCCAGCTCTCTCTCTACAAGGCCTTTTAAACTGCCCCATTAAGAAATGACACCTACATTATTTTCACCCAATTATTATAAATTATTATAATAATTATTATGAATTATTAGAAATATTTATAATAATTATTATAAATTATCTTTTAACCCAATGACCAACCACCCATGGCCAGGCAGTGAGCAGGGTGGACATGTACCTGCAGGAGTGCCAGGACTGCCCCGGGTTCTTCGATGCCATCATCAACACGGGTCAGTTCATGCTGATTGCCTCTGGGGTAATTGGGAATCATCATATCATATCATATCATATCATATCATATCAATTTTTATAGCAAATATTTTAATACAACATTAAATTTTAATTTTGTTTTAGTTTTTAGTTTTATGTTTAATTTTGTGATTTTCGGCTCTCATTGCCCTCATTAATGCTGATTTTGGGCTCTCTCATTAACCTCTCATTGTCATCATTAACTCCGATTTTGGGCTCTCAGTGCCTTCATTAACGCCGATTTTGGGCTCTCTCATTAATGCTAATTTTTGGCTCTCATTGCCCTCATTAATGCTGATTTTGGGCTCTCAGTGCCCTCATTAACGCTGATTTTGGGCTCTCATTAACGCTGATTTTGGGCTCTCATTAACGCTGATTTTGGGCTCTCATTTCAGTCTCACAATCCCTGAGTTCTGCAGCACTTCAATAACAACTCAAAATGGAGCCCCAGCTCTCTCTCTACAAGGCCTTTTAAACTGCCCCATTAAGAAATGACACCTACATTATTTTCACCCAATTATTATAAATTATTATAATAATTATTATGAATTATTAGAAATATTTATAATAATTATTATAAATTATCTTTTAACCCAATGACCAACCACCCATGGCCAGGCAGTGAGCAGGGTGGACATGTACCTGCAGGAGTGCCAGGACTGTCCCGGGTTCTTCGATGCCATCATCAACACGGGTCAGTTCATGCTGATTGCCTCTGGGGTAATTAGGAGTCATCATATCATATCATATCATATCATATCAATTTTTATATCAAATATTTTAATACAACATTAAATTTTAATTTTGTCTTTAGTTTTTAGTTTTATGTTTAATTTTCTGATTTTCGGCTCTCATTGCCCTCATTAATGCTGATTTTGGGCTCTCTCATTAACCTCTCATTGTCATCATTAACTCCGATTTTGGGCTCTCAGTGCCTTCATTAACGCCGATTTTGGGCTCTCTCATTAATGCTAATTTTTGGCTCTCATTGCCCTCATTAATGCTGATTTTGGGCTCTCAGTGCCCTCATTAACGCTGATTTTGGGCTCTCATTAACGCTGATTTTGGGCTCTCATTAACGCTGATTTTGGGCTCTCATTTCAGTCTCACAAACCCTGAGTTCTGCAGCACTTCAATAACAAACTCAAAATGGAGCCCCAGCTCTCTCTCTGCAAGGTCTTTAAAACTGTCCAATTCAGAAATGACACCTGAATTATTTTCACCCAATTGCAACAAATTATTATAATAATTAAAATAAATTATAATAATTATTATAAATTATCTTTTAACCCAATAACCAACCACCCATGGCCAGGCAGTGAGCAGGGTGGACATGTACCTGCAGGAGTGCCAGGACTGTCCCGGGTTCTTCGATGCCATCATCAACACGGGTCAGTTCATGCTGATTGCCTCTGGGGTAATTAGGAGTCATCATATCATATCATATCATATCATATCATATCAATTTTTATATCAAATATTTTAATACAACATTAAATTTTAATTTTGTTTTAGTTTTTAGTTTTATGTTTAATTTTCTGATTTTCGGCTCTCATTGCCCTCATTAATGCTGATTTTGGGCTCTCTCATTAACCTCTCATTGTCATCATTAACTCCGATTTTGGGCTCTCAGTGCCTTCATTAACGCGATTTTGGGCTCTCTCATTAATGCTAATTTTTGGCTCTCATTGCCCTCATTAATGCTGATTTTGGGCTCTCAGTGCCCTCATTAACGCTGATTTTGGGCTCTCATTAACGCTGATTTTGGGCTCTCATTTCAGTCTCACAAACCCTGAGTTCTGCAGCACTTCAATAACAAACTCAAAATGGAGCCCCAGCTCTCTCTCTACAAGGCCTTTTAAACTGCCCCATTAAGAAATGACACCTACATTATTTTCACCCAATTATTATAAATTATTATAATAATTATTATGAATTATTAGAAATATTTATAATAATTATTATAAATTATCTTTTAACCCAATGACCAACCACCCATGGCCAGGCAGTGAGCAGGGTGGACATGTACCTGCAGGAGTGCCAGGACTGCCCCGGGTTCTTCGATGCCATCATCAACACGGGTCAGTTAATTGCTGATTGCCTCTGGGGTAATTAGGAATCATAACATAACATACCATAACATATAACATAACATAACATAACATATAACATGACAAATGACATGACATGACATATATTTTTATATCAAATATTTTTATACAATATAGAATTTTAATTTTTTTTTTAATTTTTAATTTTATGTTTAATCTTGTGATTTTGGGCTCTTTCATTAACCTCTCAATGCCCTCATTAACGCTTATTTTGGGCTCTCATTAACACTGATGTTGGGCTTTCATTAATGCTGATTTTGGGCTCTTCCAATAACCTCCCAGTGCCCTCATTAATGCTGATTTTGGGCTCTCTCATTAACCTCTCAATGCCCTCTTTAACGCTGATTTTGGGCTCTCAGTGCTCTCATTAATGCTGATTTTGGGCTCTCATTAACTCTGATTTTGTCCCCTAATTAATGCTAATTTTGGGCTCATTAGCACTGATTTTTGGCTCT